TTTTTTTTAAATGGTTCTTTATGAGTAATTGATTTTGGAAATGATGATGGCAACATAGGTACAAACATGCTTGGTACAGTTGATGTATGGATTGTTAGGAGAGCTGTAAGAGCCCCCAATAAAATAATTTATTAAAATTAAAAAAAAAAAAAAGAAATCCAATGAAGTATTGTATTGGGGAAATCTGTTGCAAAAGACCCTTGAAGGGATTAAAAAGCAAGTAGGTCACTTTAAGGACTACGTTGTACCTGCCCTGAGCCATGCTCTTTTCAATAGCCTCAACTGGACAGTGGACAAGAATGAAAGAGGAAGAATTTTGAATTATGGTGTTGACAAAGAGTATTGACTATACCATGTACTGCCCGAAGAACAAACATGTCTGCCGTAGAAGTACAAGCAGAATGCAACTTAGAAGGGAGGGTGGTGTGACTTTGTCGCAGGTACATGGTCAATGTTATCAGCAGGGATCAGTCCGTGGAGAAGGATGTCATCCTTGGTAAAACACAGGGCCAGCTCAAGAGAGGAAGACCTTGACAAGATGGAGAGAAACACTGACTGCATCCGTGGGCTCGTGAGGATGGTGCAGGAGTTGGCAACTCTTTTGATTGCTCATAAAAATACCAACAACAAACAACTTATACCTATGACTCAAGCCTAGGAAAGTATTAAATGAAAATAATTCGTTGTCACTTTATATGAAAAATCATAGATTTAGCTATTCATTTTTTCCCAAAGTCATACCATGAGCCTACCCTACAGCATTAAACAATAAGTTGGCAACTTAAAGAACAAACAAGCAAACAGGTATTGGGAAAGGTGAGGAAAGAAAAGCCACCATTCGACTCACCTCATGAAAGGGGATCTCCAGGGTTTGGAGACGAAGGTCAACCTTGTGGTATGTGTCCAGGCAGGGCAGAATGAAGAAAAGGCCTAGGTGAGCGGAGAGGGCCATGGTGGGTAATGTCTTTCAGGGACACTGGATGGGGGTTACAGATTCAGCCACAGTTTGCAGATTACAATGTTCTTCTTAGCTTCCAACTATACACAGACCATTGGGGTGTTTGTTGTAGTTAAAGTTACCATAAAATTTGTGGCTCAACCAGCAACACTTTTAAGGGGCAAAGATTACAAACTATTCCACGACAATAGGAGTCAACCTCTATTATCCCCAGAAAAGTGGGGTGCTCTCAGGCACAGAGCCAGATGTAAGAGTGCTGTATGCACTGTTAGCTTTGGTGCCTGCGTTTGTGCCCTTTAGGTTCTCTGTAAGAATGCTGTTGAATCACTAGTGTCTTCAGGTAACACACGTGAGGGTCAGCCACCTCCATGTTGTAGTCCTTAAACCGTAAGCCCCAGAAGAATCAGAATGGCATATCATGATACCAAGCTTCGGTTGGAGGGTTAGACTTGACCGAGCCATCGTAGTGTACAGCGCCATGGTGCAAAAACTCTTTGTTGATTGGTTTACTGAGATTTGCTGACAGCTTGTCGGAAGCTCCTTACAGGAACCAAGCCTCTGTTGGAACCACACCATCTCACAGAGCCCAGGTTCTCTCGAGGAAGAGACCCATTAGTGGCCAGGTTGGCCCCAATTCAGAAGGCTCCTGAGAACTAGGCGAACCAGATGGTCCCTGTCTTGGAACTATAAAATCAGGTTCAGATTTTGCGAGGACCTTTGGCTCTGTTGGTTTTGAATCTTCAAATTTGGATTTATGTCTCCTAATCTGGCCTTTATTCATTACTTGTTTCTATAGGAATAGGTTGGAACTCAGATTTATGCACATTTGGACTTTGGCTTTTCTCATGGCTTCCTGCCTGGTTTCCAAACTCCAACTGCTATACATTCCAGGGTAGCCATACCTCCGCCTGGGACCTCTAACCCCCGGGACATCTGGACACCGACTCCTCCACATGTTAAGGCCAGAGAGATCAGTGATGACGTCCCATTCATCCATCTCCATATCCCTGGTGGCCACCACAGTGTTTTGAGACACAAGAAGTGTTTATGCCATGTTTCTTAGATTTCATCCGCCGAATGCCAGTTTGCTACTTGAATACTGAACTTTGCCCATTCCCCGTGATTTGGTCTGAACCCAGGATTCTCAACTAGCTCATTTTTTGGTTGAGAATTCACAGGATCTGACCCTATACAATTTCTCAAACTACTCCCTGGTCTGCCTGCAACCCCAACCTGGCCTCAGCATGTGAACTCCCCACACCTACTCTCTGTCTTGGGCACCTGTGACCAGAGACTCTTTGAATAGTTTATTAATAACCTATGCTGCAAGTGGCTGAGCACAGCGGGCCCAAACATAAGGACGGTTGGAGCAGGGTGCGGGTGGGGCAATGTTGAACAAGAGTGGCTACAAGGGAAACCGGCTCCGTGAGGAGGACGAAGACAACATGGGATATATTGCCTATTGCCATTGAGTCGCTTCCAGTCCCAGTGACCATGCCCAGGGGCTCCGAGGCTGTGAACCACTCTAGCAGCAGATAGCCCCAGTTTAGTCACATGGAACAAGGCTGGTGTTTTGGAACCAGCAACCTGGCAGTTAGCCGTGCAACACAAATAGCAACGAAGTCCTGTGCGTATCACAACATG